TAAATGCAATGGCTTTATGAAGAATAGTACGATTTTACATTGTTTTTCGTGGATTATTTGTTGTTGGTCGCCCGGACATGACAGCGACTGCATATATTGTTACTAACTTTGTGTATCCTTTTTAAACCCAAAATGTGTAGCGTTTTCAGTGAAATTACTTAAAGAAGCACAGAGTGGTTACTAAAAACGAAGTTACTTAATTTTTGCAGATATGCTGTCATCCATTAAAAAGTTATTAATATTAAGCCCTCACCTTGCCGCCGTTTTTGCGTCGTCGAAGATATTATTGGTCAGGTTCTCCTTCAAAAACATGGTAACAGTAATAAGCTTGTGAGCGCAAGTAACTGAGTGCAAACAAACTGTTAGTTTGTTGGACAGGCCATTGTTGGACGGGGGTTGGCAAACCGATGCTGAGGGTCGGAAAAACGTATGCATAAACAGCCAAGAAAAGCAAATATCAGCAGGATAAGTCACGCGAGATGGAGTACCAACATCAAAAGGCGTTATTTGGGTTTGTTTGAGCATACGTTAGGAAGCACCAGCTGGATGGTACTGACAGTTAACATATTTGTACAATTGTGAAGCCAGAATCAGCAGGCTAACTAAAAATCACGTCCTTCAGAATGAATTTCCATACCTCCAGTTGCTGTTGCAATGTTTAGCCAGTTTTGTTAGAGAACACCCTCACGTTGTGCGGACGTATATTGTATTTGTAGGAGGTTACATTGCAACAAAGCGTCTTCCATTCTCTCAGCAATGTGTTTAGCTTTTGATTGAGTGTAGCTATCATTCAAGAGAATATTTTTGTGCTTCAAACAGATCGCAGAAGAATGTTAGGTAGTAAACAAGGATGCATTTTTATGCTGTAATTCAGCTATTGGGCTGGATACGTACTGCAGTGAGTGCAATAGGCATGAAAATGTTGAACGATTTTTCTAAAGATCAGCTTAGCCTTTTTATTTTTGAATATTTTAAAAAATACAGAAGTATGTAGACTGACTTAAGTTGAGAAAATGGTACTAACCTATTGACATCTGCCGAAGATTTGAGTCTGTCTTAAATAAGGTTAATTTCCGCAGTTCAATGAAAAAAGAAACCTTAAATTATGGTCGGGCTTGGAGTCTACTTTCAGGTTTGCAACTTAATAAGTCTCCCGTCTATTTGGGTGACCTTCAGAAACATCACTCATTCTTTCAGTTGCTTTTATTGTTATTGTGAGGCCCTTTCTTTAGGATAATTTGGGTGTTTAAAAAGCTGTTCCAGAAGTTGAACCAGTGATGTAATTCGTGGTGGCAGTGATGGACGGTACAGCGTGGGAGTTGTGGAGCTCTAGCTGCCTATCTTAAATAAAAAAGCTACAATTCTATAAGTTGCCAAAACACTCACTCTGTAGGCGCCTTTCAGCAAAATCAGCGACATTTTCTGTCGTGTACCAGCGGTCGTTAATGCCTACAATATTAAGTTGTCTGAAAACTACGGCGAAGTCTCATTTACTCTGTGGTTCAAAAACTCTACTGGGAAAAACAGGCCCAACTTTATTCAAAATACCGAACGTATTTACTCTTTTTGTATCTTCCATCCCGTGTGTTTGGGCTCATTTTGTTTATGAATTGAAAAATGTTGGCTTCAAATGTCGTTGCTTTGGTTCTCAAATTTGTGAGTGCATGTCGGTCATCATTTTTTGTTGCCGTAATTTGGATATGACTCTCCCAAGTGGCAAACAACATACGTGCAACTCCGAAGAATTTTGTTTCTCTGCAAGATAGTGAGATTATTGTGTGTGTAACGTATCGAAACAATGATTTTCCGAAAACCATCTATTGATATTTTAGTCTAAGAGCTCAGTAGACCATCCGTGACTAACCTACTACCTAGTAAAAAACTTTTGAATGGTTTGTCATCCATTCAAAAGCACATTGTTAGGGTCACATTATTCTGAAATCCTGAATGGTTTCCCTGATGCCCTTAAAAAGGGTCCATTATGATGTGTAGTGAAAAAGCCGCAGAGCTTCTTCTGTGAGTTGCTTTTAGGGTTAATTTGATGTAAATTACTCATCCACGTTATTAAAAAACTTAGCGGTTGAGCACCTGAAGACGGTTTTTATAATTTCAGTCGGTAAATGGAAGGACTGCAGATCAGACCCGTTCAAGATTTAGACACGCTGAAAAGATAAAGCAATAAAAATGAATGCTTGTTAAATCTGAGTAAAACAAATGAGGGGAACAGTTTCTTGACTGTATTTGTTACAGACCTACGTTTACATGCATTAGTCACCCCAAGGTCTTTCTCCGATAGCCGATGTTATGGTAGCCAGTCGATTTAGGTGCGTCGCCACACAATACACAACATCGTGTTGGATTTGATGACAGCCACCACAGTGTGGACCAGATGTGCAACACAGAATATTCCATCCAATCCTTGCCACAAAAATCAAGCCGGTTAAAGTATTCGGAAGCATTTTGGTAGCATGCTGTATGTCGTGTTGTTCAAGAAGCCCAATGTACTCAGCAGACATAATTCATAGTTCTCCACAAATTCCAAACAGCTAAAGAGGGCTCATTGATTAGGCCGTAAAGTTACTGACCGTAAAATTCTTGGGCCAAACAAATTCTCGGCATATCAACTGCTATTGCCTAGGGTTGAGCAATCCAACAGCATATCAGATCCGCGACTCCTTCGAGTGGCATGACAGTCAGGCGCGTAAAAAATGTTGCAGCTGAGCGGTGGTACAACTGGTTCTAAAATGACCACTCAGATCCCAGAATCTTCAGGTCCGTGATGGAAAAGGCTCCATCAAGCCCGAAGTAGTGAATTTACAGGCTAATATGTGAAAGAATAACCGTTAAAGTATTACACAACTACTGACCTTGAAGCATAAGATATGACCTTAATTCCTGAGGCAACACAACGTCAAGTGTCAGAAAGTACAACTTACTCTTCAGCACCCGCGGGGCTCATTCTGTATTAGATGAGGTTTTTAAGCACTTATATTGGTTGGTCTTGCAAAAAGTGTTCGTTTACATTTTATATAATAATGAGAAATGTTAAGCGGGATAACCTGGAGTGGAAGCACACTAGCCTATGAGCACCGAAAAATCTATCTGTCGCATTAAGAGGTGAAAATTATTCGTCGCCCGTGTTCAGCTGTATCCACTTGAGTCCATCTTGGGATTTGGTAGACGTATATTGTGTGAAACACTGTGTAGATTCTATTGTTTACCCACGGTTTGAAGCATACATTGGTTCAGTCCCGCTGCTCTGTTTTGTTTATGCTGTTCAAGGTATTTCCTAATTTTATTCCAAAGGCAATATGAAATGCTTATTCTTTTATTTATACCAAGAATGTTTTCATCCTAAGTGCATCTTCAACAATCCTCTTGTGGCTTCTTACGAGATCAACATATCCAAAGTATCATTCTAGTTACGGCAACGAGTGCTATGAGACGCAGTGATAAACTGAAACAATGAGTACCTTTGAGCAAGCATGAGTGTTTGATGATTGCAGGAGGTGACAAAAACTTTCCCTTCAGAGACGGATGTTTGTGTGCTCCACCCGGGTTTTACAACGACCTCAATGCTATCGTCATAGTTTCTGAAAATTACAGCCGACTGCCAGTGTTTTTGCGTAACAAAACTCGGTATAAATGTATGAATGCCTCGGAGATACGAAAAGACTACTTCTCAACACGCAATAGACCAAAAAACACTTGTTTATCATAAAGTTGTTGAGAGAAAAGGTTTCAATGGATGCTAGAAATAGGACAACCACCCTCCGGTCTCCAACAAATGATTGATAGATGGACTGATAGATACGGATGCAGGCAACATAAAGGATAGTTAGTGAGTTTCAATTAGGTTCTGATTTCATAACGATCGGGGAATATTTTTCCATATTTTTTTCGGAAAATATACAACCATTCATCTAATGCGTGGCTCCCCATAAACAGTTTGTTCCGGGTGAGGACGTCAAATAAGTAATAATGAACCGGTAAGACGAGTCCGCAAAGGAACTAGTACGCAGAAAGTATGATAATACGGTTACAAAACAAACGAGGCCGGCTTTACCAACTGTTTGGCTGGCTAGAGCAAACCTCAGTGGAAAAAAACGACAGGCTTTAGTATTCAAACAAGAAAGCGGTCGCCTCTTTCCCGAAAGGCGTAAATACTGATGCAATACTTATACCAGGAATCCAATCAACGATAAAGCCATTGGTAGAAATCCTAAAAATCCAACGAAGGAAACGTGTTCACAGCAACAGAAAAAGGGACAGTTGCCTTCAATAAATTGATGAGGTCTAAGTACAGATTGAACAGTGCATGAGTCCGACTTCACCGAAACCACGTCAAATCTAGCCTTGAGAACCGTGTCCAAGCTTGACTACCACAGAGAACGCTATGCGGAAACAAGCCAGAAAATTGGTAGTACTTCTCCAGGTTGCGTGAATGTTTATCGAACCCAGACTTCTATTTTCTACAGCGCAGGCGTTTATGTAGGGGCCCGAATGAGGCCCATAGGAGGCACGTGGATTCTTGGGTTTTGTCAGTGCTTGTTTCTGTTAAAGAAACAATCGTCGTCTTGAAGATTTAACTCTGCTATACAACTTAAACTTCCGTACGAGTTACCGAACTTCAGTTCCTTTGGTGCAGCCTGGCAATTCTGCGGAGCAAACTAACCGACTTGACGCCTTCGTATGTGAATGAAAGCCTTTCATTTAGAAAAATCAATGGCACAAGAGAATAATATTAAGAGAGGAAAATCCAGAAGACAGCCTGAATTGTTTGTTGTTATCCAGCATTCAAAACACGGGATAAAGCATATGTTTTCCAAACTATCAATAACAAACCTGAGCTCACCATTCGGATTGACCTTGCCAACAGTCTTCTGTACCGATTCTCAAGCCCAGTACATTCCACAAAAATTGCATATATGTTTTACGGGTAAAAAGCATCCGAGCTGAGCTGTTTATGGTTGGATCGGTCAGTTGGCGCGACGGGTCAAATGCGTCACAAACGTTACTCAAGCGTAAACATTCCTGCATGTGAATCCGTAATGAGGCAGTTAGATAGTGCGTTTTTGGTTGTGCAACGGGTACTTTCATTGAAGAATGTGTCCAACACCACAAGTTGCGTCGGTTGAGACATGGGTTGCGTATGCCGAACCATCGTTTCCCCAAGAGAGTGCTGTTTTCCATTCCCAATTCAAACTGGCGTAAACAGAGAGATGGCCAACCCTTGACTTGGCAGAGGAGTATGAAGGAGATCACGAAACGCTTGGGTGCTGTCGGTGCTACTCGCTTTCCAGGATGGGGACCGCGTGATCCTCACTGTGCCTGGTTGGAGACACTACAAGATATTGCTTTTAACCGATGTCAGTGGCGTTTTTGTTGTCAGTTTCTATCCAGATTGCCTGAGTGAATGTCTGTATGTGTAGGCACCTCAGAATGATTGTGATAAGCTAGCACTAAGTCCCTTCCACGTCCACATTTACTCCTTTCTTTACAATAAGGCTTTCAAATGAATCATGGTTGTATGGCACTGAAACATCGGTGTTGAACACTGATGTTATGCTGTCGATGATGATGCTGATGCCTGAATGCTCAAGCGAGATGAATCTAGCGCGTGCCAAGTGCGTTGACTGGTAGCATGCCCACCCAGCAGTCCAAGTTTCTGGCGTTCAACTCTTCGTCAGAGTCATCTTCTACTATTCAGCTCTAATAAAAACGAAGCTCGAGTTGGTTGTTCATTTTTTTAGTATAAACCGGTCCATATGAATGAAAACTTGTAGAAAGTTACCTGAATAGACAAGCAGTTCAAAACAGCTACAGATCAGAATAGACAACAAGTTTTGATGTAAGATGCCGAACAACCAAATGGCTACCCAATTTGAAGTATGGACTTTCTTGCAATTTTGCGCAAGAAACAGACAGATGTAATAAAAAAAACAGTGGATGACGCTTATTGTTGACTCATTGAACTAGTTAAGGGAGTCTATAGTCTTTATTTCAGTTGTGAGGGCAACAACCAAACCAGAGACCACGGTGCGGCAGGCAATTTTGATCCGACATTGTGTCGATGAGAAAACTTCATTTTCTGTAGAGTATCCGTGTATTGCCCGAGGGAGAGCCTTTTTCAGCACTTCGAACCTAGTTTCGACCTTTGCAACTATAAAAACGGCGAATAACTTGTCTTTAAATTCAGCCTAGACTCCTTCGATCTGAAAACGGATGGTCCTGATATGTAAATCTGATGCATTGAAGGCAATAGCTTGGATGCACAAGCGCCATTGAAGGCCATGTCTGACAATGTCTCTGGCCATTGATGCTGCCCGTCTCGGGATCCCCATCCAGGAAGACGGCAGTGACCAGCGCAGCTTAGTTTGCTGGTAATAGCTCTCATGCTTCAAAAATATCACGTGAGGTGTGAGCAGTGTTTAAATCAAACTATATGAGTTTTGTTTGTTAAAAGCTGACGCACGTAAGCAAGAGAGAAGATTGATGCGTTTCGCTGATCGGTATTTCAATTCTTAACCGGAAATAAGTGCCCATCGAAGAACGGTCTGGTCGACGTCAGACCCCAGCCCGGATGCCCACGTAGCTAGGCTAGTGAGTTTCACGAATTGAATTACGGCACAAAAGCCGCAAGAAAGCACCCCCGAACGTTCCAGGTATAAAGGCTAGTATCGACTGCTACGTGCGTCAGCTTGATAGCAACAGAGAAAGAGTAGTTCGTCCAATGTGACTTAAGTTGGTTTTCTCTAGACGTAACATACTACTCATAAAGTTGCTGAAGAATCTTCGACAGCACACACCCGGTTTCTCCCTTGTTGAAGTTCCTCGGATGGACACAGTTCCCGGGTTTCCGTCAACCGTATGTTTTACTTGGTCTCCGACTGGACGAATTTCAACAAATGCTCTCATTTGTATATGACTCAAATGAATCCGGCTGAATCTTTCGTTTATGTTGTTCTTAGGCAATTGAATGTGCTGCACTAGACCGATTTCAATTGGTACGTTATTGAAGATATGGCAATGCGTTGTCCAGACACAACACCCTTCAAAAGCCCGCAACCTGTTTCGGCCTTCTTAGGGCCCAACAGTCAAAATACTAGTCAAAATGTCAAGTTATCATCATCATCATCATCATCTTCACCATCATCTTCTTCATCAGCATCATCATCATCAACATCATCACCTTCATCTTCATCATCATCATCATCATCACCATCATCATCATCATCACCTTCATCATCATCATCATCATCATCATCATCATCATCATCATCATCATCAGATACAGAAAAATGATACTCATGCTTCACTGCCATACAACCATAAAGTGTATATAATTATGTGTAAATCCTGGAATACTGGGCGAGGGAGCAGACTTGATGCTGGCCTATCGTAATCTGAGGTACCTTCACCCCCAAGCTCTCGATCAAAAAATCTGGAAGGTAAATGATAGAACGAAAGCCAGCATTGAGCTTATGTCATTCCAAAGTCATATAGGGCTAGGGTTCCTCTGCGTCAAAACAGTGTTTTACTGGATGAGTCATTTATCGCAGTTAAACTAGCTGCCGTGAAATGAGGTAGCCTATCAGAATGGTCATTTAAGATGTTCACATTTTGCAGCCAATCCTTGTTTACCAACAAGGAACATAGAATAGTTGCTGGCAAGGAGCGCAGATTCACTGAAAATCGTCATTTGAACCAGTTATTGATCATAAAGAATGGAAAGTGTGTACTTGTGTGACCAACTGATGTTACCTACCAAAAGGGGTCTCATTTGAGGGTGGTCTCCCCTGAGGGGGAGAAAGCAACTTCGAGGCAAATTTTGAACAGTGTATTCGGTGAATCTCTGTCGGTTTATGGGGTACTTGAAATGTGCTACGCATAAGGTGCAGGCTTTTCGCTCGTTCGTTCGTTCATATGGTGGACGCAGTGAGATCGAAGTACTACATCTGCGCGATTGGCCAAAAGAGGATAATATGGAGAAATTCGCTGTCATCGCGAAGGCGTTTATAAAGCGAAAAAATCATCAGTTTGTCTTTTGATAGTGTCGTGTAAATCCATCTTTTCAGATAGAATGCTGTCATCTACAGGGTACATCGATTCACAAAAAACTTGGCCAGTCGAAGCTTTCGCATCCAAAGTCATCATTGGCGGCAAAACCAGAGGAAAATACTGGTGCGTCACTGCAGTACAATCATGCCAAATTATCTGCACAAAGCCTTTTAGTGAAATAAAACGAAAAAGAGTTGGACAGGGATGGGTACCTAGGGATGGCTTACCACAGATACCTCAGGGGCCCAGTCTTCTGGCAAGTTCCTTCCCCATTCTCTTCTCCCGAGGGCAACACCCAAGACATGAAAAAAGCCTGTCGCCCCTTGGTGCCATCTTCGAATAAATCACTTTATCCGATGACAACAGGGATCGTATTTCACCCATAAGTTCCCAACTAATGGCTTACGGGCAAGTGATGTGGAAGTTCTCAGCCTGATTGCGATGTCTTACTTTAATCCCCCACGAACTTCGTTTTTATTAATAATAGAAAATGGTATTCCTAAGAGGACTGAAAAGACTTCAAACGTCCGTGGGGTGATCGACCATTGTGGGAGTTGTTCCGGGTGCCCGCTCTCTATCAGTCTACATAAGCTTTCTTTCACGTATGACTCTGAGTGACACTGACACACTACACTTTTGTATCTAATAGCCCAATTGCCCAAACAGTGTTTAACAAAGCAACTCTTTCGTATATTTATCGAAACAGTATACTCAATATCCCCACGTTGCATCTTAAAATGTGCAGAAATTCGCACGGAATTTTAAAAATGATCTGTAGATTGATCATACAGCTTGAATTGTGTTCCTTTACTGAGTAGTTTGACTCAAAACAACGGTGTTCTGCTAACCATGAATTGTACTTTTGAACCAATGAGGGCGTGAACAGACCCGGTCGATATCATAGCACACAGAACTCAAGCTATGCGGGTCTTTAGGGCCTAACCGCGGGGGTTAAGCTAAACACTATCGGATCAGTAAGCTGGTGATTTGGTTATACCTTTTAACTGCCCATGAACAGTCCGATCGTTTGTGAAATGGCTTTTGCCGTTGAGGTTTGGTTTCACCTCATGTGTAAGTCAGCATGGGTGAATAGATGTCTGAGTTTATAGTGAAACCCTGTGAGTGTGGAGCTTAGTCGACGTAGGCTTTTAGGTACCTCTAAAAGTACATTCATTTACACAACAACTTTGGTTTTGAGATTCGAATGAATCCAAGCCGAATCTCTCGTTCGTGACGTTCCAGCTAAATGTACTGTACGAAGGCCGCCTCGTGTTTCAGTTGACACGATATTCGAGACAATGCAGTATATTTTCTTGAACAAAACTATTCAAGAAGTTGCTGGAAACCCTTCAGCATCCCGGTTGCGTCCTTCATGGGGCTCATCAGGTGGACGAAGTCTCCGAGTTGCCATTAACCTTACGTCCGTAGGTGTGAATTTCGTGGAATGCACCAAACTAGTGTGCAAATAAGTACATTTATCGAAACTCGTACAGCTTAAGTTCAAGTAGAACAATAGGCTGACTAATGCTCCGGGACTATGTCTGACCGATGAGCCTCAATGAGGCCAAAACCGGTTGTGAGCAGTCAGAAAGTTTCCCCCACACCTGTAAGCGGTTGCCCCCTCTAGATGCCTCATTACTATTTGGTCGTAAGTGGCAGTGATACGCATTTCATGAGCCTATGTAAGATGTCAACATTGTAAGATGGATTTAGCCTACTCCATTAGCTCAATTTTGAGTCTGATTTCTCCAAACTGACGTTTCCGGAGAAAACTCCGAGCTGCATGCCCTCGATTTAGCACACTTTAAGGTTCACGATATTTGCAAACAAACTTCCAGTTCCAGTCTTCCCGTACCTATCGTTCTGCATGTTTCTCAGTCATTCAAACCACTTTGGTAGAAGCTGAATGACAGAATTCGAATCCACATTAAAAAAAATTGCCAACCAACAAAGACCAGCAGGTTGAAAAACAAATCGGAATGGTAGCATCTGACGTTGGCGTGCAGTCAATCCATCACAGTGGCTAACTGGGAAATAAGAAGACGCTCTGTCCATTTTATCGTTGACGACTGACTTAGCACCTGGCCCCGTGACCCTGGGGAAATAAGCAGAACAATGGACACTGACTGTCATTTGTTGTCCCTTGGAACAGCAAGTCGGCCAGTCGACACCCAAGGTCATACGCTTTTGAATCGCCTAATTTCTTCTACCATCCATCGCTATGTCATCGGTTCAAAGGTCGCCATTCTCTTTGGCCTCGAGCGTCTGACTTCCCCAATATGCCACTGAATGAGATCGCTGGCGCTGGCGAGTGTTGTCTGAGGCTGGGGTTGGTTGCGCTACAACTGAAAGAATGACTGCCGAACAAAATAGGCCTCTGGCGATTAGATTGTCCTTTTACACGAGAACTTTTCCAAAGCGATGACCTAACCCTGATGAACTGTGCAGGAGTACCGTAAGCGGATAAATCCATTCGTGAGGTGACATCCTCTTCAGTTTCAGCGTGTTCTTTCATCCTTCTTTTGCAGTGTCAACTATAGGTCAGTTAGCTGTCTGTCTACCAATACTGCTCTGCTACCACAGGGACAGAAATACAGCACAGGTGTTTCCGCTGATTTTATCCGTGTCTCAACCATGAAACTATGTGTGAGCGCGTTTAATACTGCGTCCTATGATTTCTAATCCACTTTGCTGAATCAACAAGGCCTTATGACGAAGCTTGAAGGTAAAATAGCTGAAGACACTTCCTAAAATTGCTTGTCCTCAGAGTTACGAAGCCTCTGTAGTTCGAACTCGACCTCTGCCTCTTGACTTCTCCTGTCTAGGCTTGGGCAACCTGACAGTAACCCAGCCCTCGTGCTTCATTTGGGTGGCATGGCAGCTAGGCACCGAAAGGGTATTACAGCTGAGTGACTATCTACTATCTACCAAGTCTTCACGTCTTAGACTCGTTTCAGAATAGATTTCTTGAATCAGATGAATTTCACTGCCAACACTACGTACGGGACTCTTGGGGGTTGTCTGACTTCTGCACTTTTACACCAGAAACTCACTCGGGTCGAATCACCCTCAGGAGAGGCTGCTAGCTTCACCCGAAGAATCAAACCCGACATCTACTAAGTTTCCAACACTTATCGACTGTCACCTACATGTACCTTATAAAAGAACGGAGCTAATATTTTCCTGTGATTTTCTGTCAGTGTGTCAAACATACTTACGTTTTTTGTACTCTCCAGGCTTATGGGATTGTGTGGAAAGCTTTGAACCGGAAGACACACGAGATTGTTGCGTTGAAGAAAATTTTCGATGCCTTTCGCAATCAAACGGATGCCCAGGTTAGTCGACGATTAATACCTAACATTTTTTCCCTGGATAGCGAACATTTCGAGAAATCGCTTACCTGCAAGAATTCGGTAATCATCCAAATATTATCAAGCTGTTCAGCGTTATCCGAGCGAATACAGACAAGGACATCTACCTGGTGTTTGAATATATGGGTACGATGTTTGAGCACAACCATTTTAACTCCATTTTTTTATCATTAAGAAACCGATCTTCACAATGTGATCAAACGCGGAAACCTACTTAAAGATGTTCACAGACAGTTTATCATGTATCAACTTTTGAAGGCCACAGCTTACTTGCACTCTGCGGAAGTCATACACAGGGACCAAAAGGTAAGGATGTGACCACAGATGCCAGCATACAACAGGATATTTCTCTTTTTTAAAAGTTTTCGTCTGGAGTGTGTGTGAGTTATTCAAACTCAACTGGGAAGAATTGACGTGCTCCACTTTTTTGAAGAGTAATTTTAGTCTGAAAGCCTCCCCTGTAGCCAGCATAAACGGTGAGCTAATACTCCTCATCGCGTGAGAGATCTTCTAACGTCATAATTGCTTCAAAACTGCTCGGAGGATTGACCGTGTGGGTCTGGTTATCCCACATCAAAGATAGCAATGAGATGAGTTTTCACACCCACTCGATCTATTCAGTGGTATGCTAATCCTTTGTCATATTCGGGTTGGAGACCCGGTGGTCTGAATTGCGAAGCCAAGATTTCTGCTGCTGCTGCTGCTGCTTCGGTTCACAATCAATCCACATCGTTTCTCCATGTACTTGAAGTAATATGTAGTTTTTGTATGGGTTTTCTTGAGTCATTGGAGCACTTCATTTGGAACCACAGATTTTCCTGCTTCACTGATGGTTTGTCACCTACAGAAACGCAGCTTGTCAGGAATGCATTGAAGAACTATTACAGATAATCTGTTCATCATTCTGGGAGGGAGAATGTTTAAAATAAGTGAGCACCTGCCATCTCGTGATCCATTCAGTTTACACCCCATAGAGTACAGCCGTAACCCGAAGTGCTCATACGAGTCACTGATGGTCAGAATTCACGAATGACGATTGGAGCGGGCTCACGATAAAACAGACGAAGAAGGCTTCGTGCGTGAATGATTCCTACCGAGGAGTTCAGAGGATTTTCATCATCATTATCACTTTGCTGCCTCCTTTGATCATGCGATTTCCGGAGACCTGTCCTGTGACTGGCTGGCAATTTCCTTCGATATTTTGGTTACTCATAAGTAGTCAAGTCACTGTGCAAAAAAGCCCCGATCAGCGATTGTCCCAATTGGTGTGCTGCCCAATCAACAACATGCGATCTGATCCGGTCGGACTAAGTTGGGCGGAATAAGAGGGTCTGTTGCATGTCGCTTTGTTCAACAGCCAACCGTCTTCATCATGGCAAAGAGCTACATCCGACTGTCACACCTAGTAACAGATGGGCTAGGTTGAACCAAGGCCCGATTATGCCGCTGCACTTGCGACAACGCTTCGCTGTTAATGAGGGATCATCACTGGACAGGTCAAGCGAAACTTACTCACATCTCTCCTCCAAAATTTAGAAAATTTTATATCAATCGGGAAAATTCATTGGAAATTAATACTTACGACCATGTAGTCAGCTTTGAGTAGCTTTGAGTTTATTCGTATCCTTGTCCCCAGACTCACTATGCTCATGTTTTTTCACTTTTCAGCCTTCGAACGTCTTGCTAGATTCCGACTGTTTCGTCAAACTTTGTGACTTTGGCTTGGCACGTTCACTAACCGGACGAGATGGGAAAACAAATGGAACAAGTCAGTCTTGTATACCGGCAGTTCCCGCTTTGACAGAATATGTGGCTACTCGGTGGTATCGGGCTCCTGAGATTCTACTCGCCTGTCACAACTACACCAAAGGAGTAGATATGTGGAGCTTGGGTTGTATACTCGGTGAAATGCTCTCTGGTTCCCCACTGTTCCCCGGAAAGTCCACACTGGATCAACTTGAAAGAATTGTGGCTGGTTTGCCCAAAATAACCAGAGAAGGTAGGTCAAGTTTATGTGCGCTGTGAAAGCAATTTGTGAGCTGCTAAGCACTCAAATCGGGCTTCAGTCGGCAAACTGCTCTTTTGGATAAAATCCACCTGGTTGATTCTTTTGCTGAAAGTGCACATTCGAGGAAACTTAGAGTGGCACTACTTAGTTGCTTCCGCCTTAAAGTGTAGCCAGTACGGAATAGGTGGCAGGATGTGACCTTAGATTCACTGATATCACTTATTTCTTACGCAAACCGTCATTTCAGTTGGGCAATCGATCGCACAGCATGCCTAAAGTATATTCCAGCATCAAATTTTTAGACAGAATTCGGAAATAGCCCTCAAGTTTCATGAAGTACGTTTTCGTCCAGGAATCCAAGACACACTAGAACATTTCCTAGCTTTCATAGAACCGATACACTACTCATAAGGTTAGTGAAAACTCTCCGACAGCCCACGACCGGTTTCGCCCCTCTTGGGACTCATCAGGTACACTTGACCATGAAATGGACGTACTGTGCATAATCTAGTCTACTCTTATGTGTGCTTCTCCGATGGTTGTGCCGTTCACAATCAAATCAGATCTAGGGAAACAGAGTATGATTGGCGCATTGGGGATAGGGTTAACATAAACGTGATGAACCTGGCTACCGGTAACCTGATTATTTGTGCTCCTTATGTAATTACGGTCCTTTGTTTTGGCAAGCTGAACATTTGGGTAAGCACGACTAGGTGTATGGGACGGGCACATTGTTTTAAGCCGTAAAGATAGCAGCCACTGAGGCCTACTTTGCGAACTGTTCCAGTGAGTTTACCACTCCCAGTATCTGTACTTTATGTGCGAAATTTGACCTATTGAAAGAGTACACTTAATAGGACCTGTCTACGCTGCGACTACCCATAAATTGCAGTTCTCCGCGGTGCAACACTCAAAAATGGCCGAACCGACCCACTACAGTTCCACCGACTACTTTTTTGTCGCGGGATATAGCCCGGCCATCCATGTTACATATATATGCAACGGAAACGGTTTCTCCCGTTTTCATGTCTTTGCGCACTGCTATTGATTTGAAACATAGAGGAAGGAGCTGTAAAGAGCTCCTAGGCTTTTCAGCATAGATTGTCTTAACTTGCCAGACAAAATCTTATGTAGGATTTCCTGCTTGTGAAAATTTCCTTGAAACTCGCAGACTGTCAGATGTCATCTTTTCCGGAAGCGCTACCTTTTCTATGTGCCATCAGCCCGATTGTCTCCAATAGCAAGAGACAAAAGGAGCACGTGAGTAGAGTGGCACAAAACAGTGCTGACGACGTGAGTTATGGGGAGCCAGCCAACAAGTCGATGGTTCCATACTGCTCTTAAACTGGTCACCTTGTCTGAAATACGGTATTAAATCCAAACCTGCCAACATAAACTGACACTCCTAGACATGTGCCACCCTCAGCATGAAGTCGCACTTTATAGAACAAAGCTAGAGTTCTGACTCCTAGTTGCTATTTCGTTAATCTCTTGGCTTTTGGTAGCTGGATTAAAAAACGCTTCATCACCAGTCGACGTAACATCGTCAATGTGGAGTTGAGTGGGTAAATTGCTTCTGCCCGTGCATAAATAGTTTCTAAACATTATCTAATAACTCCGGTTGCTCCTGAGATGGCTTTCTTTAAATTCATTTAATCAGCTTGGAATCCGGGCTGCGTTGTGATCTCATTTCCTTGTATACGGTTGGTTAAGCACCTTCAGTTCGACATTTCTCACCCTCCTTAATATGTGTACTGGTTCTTTCGTGCACTTTGGTTCGGTTTCGTCGCGCTTGATTGGTTGATTGAATAACCCGTGATCTAGATCCTGCCGTAAAGTATTGCTGCACCACTAATAGTTGTTGATGAACGGTGTTTTTAGAACTAGTGGATCCAAGATACATTTAAGAGATTTTTAGACGTATTTCGGAGCACCTCCAGCCGAATGCTGCTGCTCTGGAGATGGTTAAAGTTTGTATTGCAAAATACTGCCACGGAGTTGGAAACTCTCTAACCTGAGACAGAATCTAGCATCAACCGATTCTCGGGGTGATTTTACGAAACCTTGTGGATTCCTCTCAGTGGTCAACCTCCATTGGCACTCACGGCCGTAAGAAAGATGAATATTTCGGCGGAAAAGCAAACAGGCGGTCGTGAATACTGTTTTGACACGTTAGTTAGCTTACAAACTGATCCAGAATTTTACTTTCATGAATTGATCGGAACTCGAGTTAAAGCGGAAACGATTCACAAAGAGCTATGCCTTGTTCGTAAGAGGAGACTGAATATGTCCGCGATCACTTGATATCTCGTTTTGAGAATCTCGTACGCACGCTTACTCATATTCTTCCAAAGTTTCCACAGTGATGATGACTCGCATCATTTACATGGAAGGTTAAATAACCCTCCCTTCGAAGATTCTATTAGTGCGAAGGTGTATGCACTAATAAAACTCTTTACTGTGGTAGACAGCAGTTTACAGAAGCGATTTGCAGCATTTATAAAATAAAGGCAATACAAGATGTGGAGCAAGTCAAAAGGGAACTTATCGTCTGCGAGAGTACCTTGGTGAAAGTTCGGACGGCGGGGACGTGTTTTTCTCCGCAGTGCGGCCGCTGCACGTGTTCCATTACTGTTTGTGGACTTGCGGAGAGTGGTTGACTTCCTGCTCCTGAGCGCGGCGTGCGAGTTTGTGTGTGCTGATTGTGTTCGGTTTCCCTATATGTGGGTTCGTTTGCACGTACGTGGGTGCGTCAGCACGTGAGTTGTTGGTACACTCACTAGACGGTACCGACAATCGACGTGGTTTGAGTACTAAAAAAACAAGTCTCGTGATCCAGTGAGCGACTGTGAGCTGAACAGTCAAGTATGTGGGTGACTGGGTCACTACATTGCTAGAATGCAATTTTCTCTAGAATGGCTTCTATTTTCGAGATGTATAGAACCCTTGACTAAATCACCCTTTCTCCGAAGCCTGTAAGAACACAATGTGGAGGAATATGTGGCGCGAAGCTCTCGACGATCAGGAACCTTCTGCATAGCCAAATATTCTAAAAAATCTGTTGAACAAACTTAACTGACGGATACGAAGAGCAGAATGGAGTAACTGTTGTTTCCAGATCAAAGTGAAACAAGTTCTGGGAATTTTGCACGCCATGCACTGAGCTGATTGGATCATGCTTGTATAAGCTGCGACCTTGAGTGAGTCACGTGAGCTAAGATCGAACGCACAAATGGCCGTCCTCTTCTCGATAAGCCTTTATTCACTCAGTGTGCACTCAACCGAGCACTGACGTTTACCCGAATGGTGACGAACCGTTTGCAAGTCTATTATCAGGCTTGGTGAACAGATCAACAGCCATCTGTTCAGCTTTGGCTAACGGGCTCTCTGTTGACTACGTTCCATTCATTTTTGCGCCGCAACTTCGAACAAATGAAAATCCGGTTTTATCAGCTTTGTACTTAGCTGTGCACCTATCAACACCAACATTTCTGCCGTTTCAGCTGCGATTTCTGACTATCTCATTGGTTTATCAGCTTTGACACAGAAGAAACTACCAACCTAGTCTAACATAGTTTCACCATCCTATTGAACAGCTTGTGGGGGGAGGCATTAGCCGCACAATGCTCTCACCGGCAAAACCTTTGCGTATGGGCTGTAACATTTTGCGCCAGAATGTTTCATTTTGTTGTATGTGTGCCCAAACCAAAAACATTCCCAATCTACTTTCATATTTTTGCAGCTCATCAAATTTCGTTGTCCATGGAAGCAATAATACCTCTCACTGAAAAGTCTTATGGAACACTTTCCCAGCATCACTGAGACCCTGGGATGCCTAGATGGGGCTCCAAAGTTTAAACTGTTTCTCTGAACTCAGTTGCCTGTCTGTTTTAGCGGATCAGGGACACATCGTGGCTTTCGAAATTTCAATTTCACCGTGCGAATACGGAGCACCACGTGTACGTCATACAGAAAGTTTGACTAGGAGGAGATCATTCGAAATGCTTTAGTAACTGTCGCGACGCCTCCAGACATGAAAAAAGTACATGTGCAGAGAATGACATGTCGCCAAGGTCACCATCGGCCCACACGTTCCGCACAGCAGGTGCATTAGCGGAGCTTACCAAACGCAGTTCAACAACATGCGACAAGCCGAGTGAGCGTGATGTTGATCACGCCAGGAGCGTCGCCATTGGCTGTACAGAGAGAACAAGCGAATAACCATATTTAGCCCTTTAGTCTTTCCATATATTTACGCAGAAGCGCGAAATTTCTGTCATGACAATACAGCCGTATCCCAGGTTCTCTGGTTTCTCCTCATCACGTGGTCTAGCACGCTCACTTCAGACGTAACCAATAAACAACTGCACACGATACGACAGTAACCTTGGTTCAGTATCCTGGGCATTACTAATTCATTCACCAACCAACCAACCTTTCACTACTGAAACCCCGATGAACAGCACCTGGAACACCACACCGCCTTGAAAAAAACAGGTATAGACATCTTCTATAGGTGAAGATGGAAATACCTTTCTTGATCCTTCACTGGTGTGATCCGTGCTGAGATTGGGTTCCATTTTGGTGCTGAGATTTCGGTATCTATCATTCCTTAGTAAAAGTCCATCATTTCACTTCTTGTTCAGCCTGTACTTTTAGGCATTACCGAAGTGGATGCAGGCCTACTTATGCCGGGAACAACCCAAAATTCTGCTTGTTTCGGTACCCATGACCGCGTAGAATTGAAAGGAGAATCGTTCTGAATCTTTTCACTTCATTACTGTTTGATCCTGTTATATCTGCTGATTCGCCGGCCTGTGATATCTGCTGCTGACCCTCTCCAGTGCCTAGTGCCGGAGAGAAAAAGACTCACGGAAGGGAACACAATGGCTATGTTCCAAAAAAATGGTTGCGAGAGCGCGAGTGCGAAAAGTGCAACGGCCTCAAGCTTTTTATTGGAGGGACACTGTCTGAACTTGGTCCAATGCTGACGCACGCGGTCTGGCTTTAGTACGAGGCAGCGACGTGCTGCATATTGCGGAGGGGTTGCCTGTCCTTGATCAACGCTGATCCGCGCTGTCTGGGTTTGATGCAAGGCTGTGACGCGCTGCATATTGAGGGGGCGTTGTTTGTCTAGTCAACACCCAGCGGAGCTGAGAGTCGCCGTAGATTCCGGGCGTTCAGTGGCTGCTTTCAGGAAGCTTTTTTCCTGATCGATGCATTTTGCTTTACGTCGCTTTTTTGCCGGCTTAACAAATCATGCCTTTCGAAATGCAGCTGTCAGGTATCAGTGATACCTGACCAATGTCTTTTCAAATACAGTTGATAGCCTTGGTCCAACCCTACTGAGAGTTAAATAGCCAGATATTCGTAAATCAGTAGTGCATACCAGCACGTGGAATAAAATCATTACTCATTATTAGCACCCATTAGTACTTCAAAAAGCGAATTCGAGCCGATGTTTTCGGGAACGATTTGAATCAACATGAGGTGAAAAAACAACTGATATACCGTTTTCTGTTCTGATCCCTGTAGGCACAAGCTTGGGGGCTCTCTGGTATGAGGTGCGAGGTGACGCGAAATTCCGCCGAACTAACCCTGCATATGCAACAAAATCAATAAGAATAGAAGCAGAATCAGGGCAGAAAATGAGTCTAGTTTGTGTGTGGGGAATGCATCTGGGAAGAGCGATCAGTGTAAGAGGTGACGGAGATGAACATTCAACAGTCCATAATGTCTATTGCTGTAAATTTTCACAAAGCTGCCCATCATCAAGGGATAGATCGTTCTTGGGGATGGCTACCCCTCGCCATTTGACGACCCTACTCAGTACACTGTGCAGACACGAGGAAAACTCCTGCCGTCCCTCCCAACTCGCACGTAGTTTCAGTGCAGTCATCTATCCAGTGTACTTGCTGGTACCAGTTGCATTTGGGTTCTTCCTCAAGGTTGGACTGAAAAGAATTCTGGGCCTCTATGATACGGTTTTGGATAGTACTCACACACGAATAGTCACGCTGTAACCCTTTGTACATCACATAAGCTCCGATAAGAGGATGATGCGGCTAATGAATATGTACGATGTATGACCAGTGAGTTTTTTTTACTCAAACAGGAGCCCAGGGGCAAGTTTCACGGGTCTGGGGTATAAGATACCCACCGAGTATTCCTTAAATTCCCCGATAACGTTCACAGCCTCCACCGACAGAAGCCTAATCGAGAAATGAAAGACCAAACCGTCCTAAATGAGGATCATCACCAGATTATTACCGCAAGGAGGATTATCGCGTAAAAGTACCGAAAATGCTTCAACCAATGTTATTTGTCACTTCCCATGCTGTCGCCCAGTTATGACGTTGTATAGGTGCCCCAAACAGATATCATTCATACTGGTGGGCATGCACAGACATTACAGTCTGGTCGTTTTTGCGTTAATTTCTCACTACTGTCGCATTATAAGTAGCTCGGTTTCCTCGCATCACTCGCGGTTCACAAATAACCGTCAGTATTTTTTCTTCCAGATTTGTCAAGCTTCAAAAGTCCCTACGGTTTGTCCATTCTACAAAACGCGTCCATGAAGTAAGTTTCGTTGTCGGTGTCGTCTAACTACGGGATTTTCGTTTCACAGTAGCGAACCGGTGAGGTGAATATCGGTTTTGACCCCCGAAGCCGGACACCAACGGGTAGAGCGGCTAAAGTGCACCTGCTAAAATAAGCAAAGTCGTTTGAATTTGAGACGCGTTCAGAATCAACTTCGGAAGCAAATGTTTTCCAGACATGTTATCTTTCCTTCGCTTTAAAAGCAGAGGTCTGTGGGACACTGCCGTTTATTTGACTACCATGTACATCAACAGAGCAACCTATGAATCTCATGAGTGCCAGTCTTTCGCACTAATAGTCTCTGCTTGACATTTAATTTCATTATTATGCACAAGTATGTGGCATATTTTCAGTGGGAGACTTTACATCTTGCATTATTCTGTACGTAGGTTGAGTTTTCTGGTCCTGTGAAGGCACGAAAAATGGTCTTCAGCGAAAGAAACTCATCCATTCAAGCAGATCTTACTGCTGATGCCTGATGATCTGTCTGTAGCGATAACTTTCATTTGGAAGTTAAATTCAAGGCAAAGAATTGTAAAACGGGGTTTCGTGACGTAATACTTGGTATTTCTCAGCCATTCAGAAACGCCAAGGTTTTCAGCACGCGTCCGTTGTCTAGATAATAAGCTTGCTTAGTTATTTCACGGAGTTCCTGGTATTTTGTAAATTCCAAAGTCACACTCTAAAGTCATTTTTTTCAATAGATGTGTCTTCATTTACTATTTGTTGACTTCACTCAAATGATTTGATTGAATTCCCACTGGTGAATGATCACAAACTTTTACTTGAATGATCATCGATCATCACCGAGGGCATTCTAACAACTAATTTGGGATTACCACACAAGTGACAAGCTTTTAACAGAGAAGTATGATCGGATCCCGAGAAGCTTAAGCACACGAACGCTTACTCTCCTATTGTGACCATTCAGATGGTATCCCGATAAACTAGTATGAGTCTTGGTTAGTGGTTGGTAGATTGCCTGAATAAGTTAACAGCTGGTTCTTGCAAGATTGCTTTGTTTTTCTCGAATATCGTGCCAAATGAATCATGAGGTGGCCCGTGTGCCGCACATTCAGTTGTAGAATAGCATAAACGAGAGATTCAGTTGGGTCTCTCGTGAGAACCAATCTGCTTTGCAACTGAGTGTAGTTCTCGAAAACAGTGCAATTTGGGTTCAAGTAGAACATAAGGTTGACGGAAACTGGGGGACTACGCCTACCTGATGAGCCACAAGGAGGGCGAAACCGGTCGTGGGCTGTCGAAGAGTTTTCAGCAACCTTGTGAGTAGTTTCCTTTATGAAACCACATTCGTCCTTGTTCGAAACTGATTAGTTCACCTCGAATCGCATTCAGTACGTAGCGAGAAGGTTGGCGGTTACCTTGATTTTAAAATGATCTCGCATTTTAACCTACTTGTCCGTTTGCTTTCCCCACTTCCTTTTTCACAGACCACGACAGCCACTGGAACAACTGTTCCCCAGTGCTGACAAGAACGCATTGGATTTGATGTTCCGAATGTTGCGGTTAAATCCACTCAGGCGTATCACCGCACTGGAAGCACTTCAACACCCGTACCTTCGCAGGTAGGATCGCGCTAACCGTTTTTCCGTACTCAGTAGGACTGGCATAGATTCATTTCAGGCTATTTTGAAGTGTCTTTCGAGATTTTAGAAACCTACTGTAGGGGGCACTTTCAGTGTTCCCCCCGATAATAATTGGTATATGAAGTCTGTTAATTGTCTACTTTTGTTCAGTAATGATGAAAAACAAACCTCAGGGCAGATCTCGTCAAAAATGGGGTAAGAGTAACTATAAGCACACCCACGCATACGTTCATTCAGTGAATGTCTCTGTCAAACTGTCAAGTTACTGGAAAAAAGCCTTGTTCCGGAATGAATCGATAGGGAATGGCACTTTCTGACCAAAACCAACCGACCAATGAGAACGCAGGGTCTAATCTTGTCCGGACATGCAAATGAACTGGATGTAACAGCTATTATCCTCAAAGTAGCATACAGAATTTTCGGTAATTTTCATCCACAGTATCATTATCAGACTTATATTTTGGCGAGTGTGTCCGCCCCATAATGGGTCGGCATCCCGTAACACCATGCGCTCACCAATCCGTTAGATGCTACAGTGAGGTGGTACAGAAACTGTTGTACTGCATTCGGAAGACGTGTAGGTCACCTTCAAAGAGTACAGTACAACCATTTAAACGAATAATAGGTTTAGTATCATCAACATTCTTCACAAGTATATTACATCGGTTTATACCCATTCTAGTTTAGAATATTACGTCTCAGTCCATGTTTTGGAAATGTTTCCAAGCGTTGCAACTGTGAGGACAAACGCATTTGCGTGCACACACACCGAATAGATCGTCAGGTTTTCCGCAAACATTTTAGTCATTTATTTCATCTGTCTTTATCCCTAAGATCACCTTCCCTAATTGTTCCACAGATTCTACCGCCCTAGCGAAATCCTCACCATGTCCCATCATGTGGTCCCCCCACTGGACGATAACGTGCAGCTAAGTATAGCAGAATACCGCAATCTGCTTTACAAAGTGAGTAACGATTTGGATATGTACAGAATAGTTGAGAATCAATCTACAGAAGTGAGATCACGTATTAGATGCAAGGTAGCTTCAACTGCAGCCAGTTAAAGCACAGTGGATTTCAAGCGCATGTGGTACTATCCGACGTCCTGACAAGTGGACCAATCGATCGGCACAGCCGGGGCGTTTGCTGCGTCGGCATTGGATATGTCGGGCCAACCAATCACGTCGCTCCAAGCGTGAACGCGTTCGCATGTTTAGGCTTGAAAGCCCAGGTGCGTCCAGGGTGCACTGGTTGAGTAGTGATAACACGGTCACCTCGCATCTGGAGTCCAGACCTTGGCACGACCGAGGATATGTACTGCTGATGAGATCTAATAACAGGAAGGCTTGCCCCATTGTGAAAAACGGAAGGAAATTATCACGGCATTTCACAGCCACGGAAGTCAGGGACAAACCATTTAAACGGCAGAGAAAACAGCACAGAACCTGGAGGAGACTACTCACAAGTTTGCTGAAAACTCTTCAAAAGCCCACGATCGGTTTCGCCCATCCTGGGGCTCATCAGATAGGCGCAGTCCCCGAGTTTTCAGAAACCTTTTGAGCATTGTCTTTCAGGAAAATATACTGTGGTATCTTGAATATCGTACCAACTGAAGCATGAGGCAGCCGTTGTGCTGAACATTCAGTTGAATAGAAGCATCGATTGATTCAGCTGGGTTACACGAAAATAAAATTGGTTTGCAGATGAGTGTATTAGTCGAACTTCGTACAATTTGGGTTCAGTTAGAACGTACAGTTGGTGGAAACTGGGGGACTGTGTCTGCCCGATGGACCTGAAGAAGGACGAAATCGGTCGTTTGTTGCCGATTGGCCTTCAGCAACCCAATGAGTAGTACGTCACGTCTATACGGCACTGAGATATCTCGAATATCGTACCAAATGAAACATGAGGCAGTCCTTGTAAAACCCATTCAGTTGAAAATTACAGTCAAATGGGAATGCAAATGAGTGCATTTCGGGACCTCCTGTTTTGCAAGCGGACACCCGAGACACTGTGAACTGATTCAGTTCGCACTGTAAACAGAGACGCTTCGGACAATGGATTACATAACGGAACTGCATTGAGGCCGGGGTTCTAAGGCACTTGAATGTTCGGAACACTAGTGACTGATCGGTAGAGTGGATCTAATTTAGTGCGCGAATTAGCCTGTTATACTAACGTTCTTTTGATAGCCAGAAATATATGAATAGCCTTCATTAGTTGAGTCATTCAAATTTCCGACTTCAAATATGAACAACGGTGTTTGAGTCACTACTCAGTCGCACTAACAAGCTTGAGTTTATGGTACCACCTGCTAATGCATTCTTTTTCAAGATGATTATCTCCAACAAATTACGTGTGCGACATCAGATTAAGAACACTCAAGTTCTCAACGCAACCCATACTGTCAAGGTCGACGGAGAAGAACAAAACTCCGGGGTTCCCAGGTCTCCGAAGGAGAAGAGCCAGAAAAGTAGCCCGCTCAAAACAATCCCAAATAACCTGATGAGTGAACAAGAAACGGTTTTGGTGACCAGGAAATCGAGTGCGGTGGGAAACACTGCCGACCCCCTTGAATCCACTGAACCCGAGATGTCAGGTGATATAGACAAATGTACGAGTCGAACTCTTCGTGGATCCACAAATGGTCTAGATGGGTAAGCTTAGTTTCGTTTTTTCCCATGACATTAGAATAGTCATACCTAAATCACCAAAAACGAAGCAGGACTATCGTGTATTGTGGACTTTGTTGTCTGCATTCCAACGTCTTGCTTTACTGCGTGTGTATGGTGAAATTCTACAGAATGCTTCAAAAACATTCTATTGAGGCTACATCAGCTCATTCGCACCGGTTTAAAACAACGGGCGAGCGAATAAAGGCACAGAATTCAGCTCAGTTGTTCGGATGTCGATTTATCAATCAGACTATTCATTTTAGTTGGTTTACTAATCGCCTCTGGTGTTGTTTTCCAGAGGCACGTCAGACGCCGCGCAAGATTAAGGGTTTAGTTGACCGAATTGGTAAGAAACACAAAGCTTCCTCAGGCGCCCTCGTGCCGTTTCTCTCATTACTTCCAAGTAAGCATCTCCACACGTTTCATCCAAGATGGAGGTTAGGTTGCCACTAGCAACATCGTCCAAAAGATGCGTCGGGACTCAACAGCGTTGAAATTTGCAAATTTTCATTAACTGTTGCTATTTTTGCAGGAATGATGAGAATCAGACAACCAGTACTGAAATCGATACCACCCCACGGACCAGAACCGAAAGCGTCAAACGGTCACAGTTAGAAACGAGACATGACCTTCCCGAGACAGTTCAGAAACCGGTAAGAACCTGAGTCTTTTCGGGGAGAGTTTGATTTAGGTTAGATCAACCAAACAAAATGTTTGTGGATCCGAATACCTTTTTCTCACAACTGCCCTCAAAATCTACCTTATTTATGTTACAACATGTGCATATTTACACAGGCGTTGTTTCGAACAAACGATCGACTGAAGTTTACTCGTAAGTTGGGGTAGAACAATAAGATGTTGCTTTTCGGTCCAAGGTCGTTATCATGGAAGAAGAGGAACAAGCGAATTTCTAGGATTGATTCTGGATGTTTCGATTAGGATATTTGTAAAAAGTTTGCACAGGAATTAATGTTCAACTCTTGACTGTTAACCGTATAAGGAAGGATCGGTTACACACTGGTGCGGTCGAATAAACGTCATTCTTGGTCAACATACCGGCTGATTTAGTGGTGTACAAACTCAAGGAAGGATATGCTAGAAATCCACACCACAGAGCTTCCTTTATTTGAGGAGCTCCGGTATAATTTTCTCTCCATTAAATCCGTGTGGATCTGAACCGTACTTATAAGTATCACGCTCGTTTTCTATCTCCAACATGACCATCGCTCTGACATGAGGTCGCCTGACTTTTTTCAAGCTGAAACAGACAGACACTACTGTACTGTAGTTCTTCGGCGAACGATCGGGTCGACTGTACGTCAGTGATTGGTCGGCAACGCACCATCGCGAAAACATGGGGAGGGGAAGATAGAGTGAATTACTCGAGTGATCAGCCTTTGGAGAATCTTATATCCAACTTTCATGACCAATTTACATTTGACTCCTTTGTTTCCGTTTTTCCGTCAATACTGGTGTCTTCTAATTCCTGGATGCTCACGGGGGCCTTTTTACATTGTGGATAGTGAGTCTATCTTGCCAAAGCTCATTTTATTATATGAGTAAGTTATGCCAACATGTTTAGCAGAAGCACCTGATTCACCTGTCACGTGACGGGCTCTTCGGTGCGATGAGTCTTGTTGAAGTAAGCCGATGGATAAAACATTGATTCTCAAGTTGCTCCCCTGCTCACTTTCATGTCCAGCTAGATGGGATATTTTACGATCTGACTGGATCGCTGCTTACGTCTTGTTAAGTTGTTTTAGTCTCAATCATGATTTAAGTGTTCTCCTTGACAGGAAGTGAAACCATGCACTCATAGTTCTGCTGTGGCACGTCATTCTGATGCGGTTACTCGTCGTCGCGGAACTCAAATTAAACCTTCCCTCCAGTCGTCGTACTCTGTGATACAGAACAAGCTAGGAACAGTCCAATGCCGACCTACTGTATCAAATAACTCTGCTGGTGAACGTGACGCGGATCATCATAGAAGATTATCCGGTACCTATCAGGTAGGTTCATCTTCATTCATGTTTCCTGTTGGTTTCTCACGTTATGGTGAGGAAATATGCTTTTGGAGGAATTTGCACTTCCATGCTCCCTAGTTCTGCATGATATTCTCGAATTTACTAGAGGTTTGTCTGTCATCTTCCATTTGTGCCGTTGAGACCAGCGTGAAGACAAGCTACTCCTCTAAGATCCTGAATTCGCCAATCACTGTGGTTCATTACCTATTGCGCGATCAACCGAAGGGTGATATTTCTTGAGGTTGCTTTAAAGGGAGTCCTACCTGAAGATCAAACAGCATTGTTTCCCCAACTTGCCCCAAAACAGTTCAAGTGGGTCGTTAGTACGTTCGCCCATCGATCAGTGACCCGTATCCTATCTGCTCACGATTGGACAAGTCGCCAAAGCAGATGACTGCTCTCTTCATACGATTGGTTAGTTTCCCTATTGATTTATGTCGCGCTTATCTATCGTCACAGTGCAGTTTTGCAACGCCGGTGGTCCCCGATTGGCGCGTTCGGGTTCCACGAGCAGTCAGTAGCTATGGTGGCTGCTTGTGTTATGCCACCCAGTTAATGCAGTTCCTCAAAAGGGTCGATTTTGACCGGTCTTGAAAAGATCCGTCGTCAGTGATCTACGGCACCATCCCGTGTCACTCTTTTGCCGAGCCGGTTCACCGTATCTTTGCAGTTCTGAACCTGACGTATTTATCCAATATCAGCCACTCATTCAACTCACTCATTCTTCTGTGCAGCTGAGTACAGCTTTTCGAAAGCGGAATAAGACCGGTGCTACAGGCATCACCTCGGAATGAAATTCATTCGAAATTAGTTGCAATTTCATGTTTTCTGCGAAGAGCAGATAAGTTGTTCTAAAGTGCTACTCTGTTCTGAGTGAAACATACTGTCGACTGGTTCTGGGCTGGCGCTACCGGGTAAAACCAAGTCGACTGCGGATGTCATCGCCTCAGCATCTTCGTCACTGGGTGAGACCCATCGCATAGACATGAGGTTTATATGGCCCACATGAGCAATGCGGGCTACATTCAAGGTTTACATAGGACAGACGGCCAGGGAACTACACATCAGAGTCGGAGAGCATAGGAGAAAAATAAACAGGCCGCCGAGAAACGCAGATAATTACCAAGTGTTACTGAAAGACTCGGCGATTGCGGAACACGCACTCGACACGGGACACAAAATAGATTTAGAAAATGTTGAGGTTTTGAGGCGAGGACTACGGTCCACGCCACATAGACTGATCGCCGGGGCAGTAGAAATCGCCAAGCACCCCAGTGTAAATAGAATAGAAGGTGTGGAACTGGCAAGCGTGTGGAGGACGGTTCTGGATCAGCCGAGCTGACACGTGTTGGTGTGCGGTCATCAGAAGGAAGAGTAGTCATCACCTGAAGTCCACTTGACCCCAACCCCCTCAAACCAAACTGTCGGAGCAGTCAAGACCCCACAAAGACCAGAAAAAATCAACCAGTGGCAACCGAGGTGAATCATCAGCTGAAGAACCCTGAAGTGGAATATTAATGAACCAAACCCGATCAGAATTAATTTGAGCGACCCCCCCCCAATCCACCAAAGCAAGATTTTGACAACTTCACTAACCGATAAGAGCCATTAATTGACACTCAACACGGATCTAGTGTGAAAATCCGAAGAGGATTGACTTACTGATTGGTTCCCCGTTTGCCTTATAACCTGGCCAATTTGGTGACTTGCTCACTTGGCCTGATGAAGCTTTTGTGTCAAAAGCGAAACGTTGCCCAAATAAAAACTACCGATTGTTTATCAAGCTCTTCTGAAACGATGACTTCTCAATCGGTTCCAAACCTTTTCCAATTGATTGAATACATTCAAAGAATATTGGCAACCAAGACAACCCGTACCAAGCTTGCACAAGTTGAGTAGTTGAGCACAAGGTTTTCTGTTGGAGAATATTCAGTGGTAGGCAAATCAGGCGTGAACAAACCCGATCTCTCCTATGAGGATTACTGCACCGTTAGATGACCCAAACTGTGTTGTACTTTACAATGCTTTCCTCTACTAACGTTAGCATATCGAATGCAGACTTTTTTGCGGAACGTCACCGTCATTCACTGAATAGATGGATTTACGTCCCATCGGGTAAGAATGACAATACGGAAAAAACGTGGGTCATTTAATTTACTGTTTAACCTTTTATTTCTGTTTTTGGAGTTCCGAGCGCTCTTGGCGATAAACTGTGTACAATGAAACGATGATAGCGAGTACACGCTTGGAGGTAACTCACAATGTGTCTCACTGTTCTTTTTAAAAGAAGAGTTAGTAGGTGTGGTGCGTTTCATATTACGATACCGTTCTTTGTGTGATTCATTCTGTGTTCTCTGAAAAGGGTCACAATAACTGCAGTCACCACTCCGGGCCGTCTGTACGAAACCCTGACCAGAAAAGTCAACAGAATTCCACCATTCCAAGCAGTACCCAATCTCGATGGACAAAACCCAACGTACTGAATGAGCTGGTAAGCTCATCCAGTCATAGTACAGCCTGCTCGGAACTTGGGCGAACTCAGTACTCAGCCAAAATGAAACCTGGACAAGATCATCGTTTGTTCACTCAGATCCATTCGGAAAAATACCACCTCCCCTCGGTCACCTCCGATGGCGGGACACAGTCAACAACTTCCGGTAAGTTTAGTAATGAAACTGGGGAGAAACTGATTCTGTAATTCCTTATGCGTAACATCCTGTAGGAAGGACGTAACATTTTGGAACTAACCACAATTGAAAGCTCCTTAGAACCCCGCTGCTCTATCTGGGCAAAGCAGTGAGAACTGGCAGCCACCACCAGTGGAACTGCAGTGTCTACCATGATGCTTCTCAAACAGTGAATATCATACAGCCATATACCGAAATGTTTGATGAAAAATTTTCTTACATTCTGTGAAAATTAAGTTTCGTACGTATATCGGTATAACCAGACGGACTAGAAATCCAGAATTCAGATCAGCGCAACAAGTAGTACGTATGTATTCGAATTGGCGAATATGTACTGCATATGGAATATTAAAACAAGGGAATAATGAATAGAGCAATGAATAGAGTATCAGTCATGTTCATCACATCCGCCACACCTTGAATGAGCGTGTGGATGTTTATAGTCCAGTGGTGGTCTTGACCGCAATCTTTCGGATCTTCTCGGAATGGAAACTTCAGA